ATTCTGTGCCCTGGCTGCTACACACCAAGGGCTGGAGGGCCTCCCTCTGGCTGATTCCCAGGAACTGAGCCTAGGCTGCAAGGGAAAGCAGGATTCTTTGACTCTCCTTTGGTTTCCAACAGATACTTATCTTAGCCCGAGCACATGTGTGCTCCAGCAACAGCTGCTTGCCAGGCAAGCAGTTTCGCTCTTTCTAAGCTTTGTCTGTAGGCACTTTCCCAACTCCATGGGCTTTCAACATAGAGGACACTGAGCTGAAAAGGATTCTGAAGGTGGTTTTTCACCTTCCCAAGGCCCAGAGTCATGATCTCCTTCCCTTTGTAAGCTTTACATGGACCAGCTCTGTCCAGTAAGTATTTGTATGTGTGTTGCCTAATTGTGACTGTGGCTACCGGACACTTTCGGAAGCAGACAAGCATAGCTTTGCAACCTGGGATTCCATTTTATTTGGGCTACGTACATTTCCATCTATAATAATGCATTCGATAACCTAGGCCCTTTACCCGCATATCCCACGTACACATACTCTTCTGAACAATGTACCTGGCAATCTGCCAGCAACCTAAGTCCTTCTCCACCTGCATCAAGCTACAATGTGTCACATTCCACTACAAACAATGGACTAAGCTTCTCCTCCCCTCAATGAAATTCAAACACAAACACGTCTATTCAGATATATTCTCAATATATCCTGTAAGAGGGTAAGAGGGCCAATCTCTCCAGGACTAATTTGTATACATGAGCATAAGACAAACTGTTTCCTCGGCATGAATTTTTAGGGGAAAAAACTACTTAACCATCTTATACCTATGCTTAATTGGGAAGGCATATGATTAAAATTAAAATAGAAAAAGAATAAGCACAGGGAACAAAGATTTACATAGCATTATTCCTAACAGCCCCTATCATTAATGTCAATCAAAAGACTGTTAGTTAAAACAGAACCACCCATGCCATGCACCTTAGCAACCAAACTCCTGTTTTATTTATTAATATATTTTACATGCAGAGGTGTTTTGTCTGTATGTATGTGTGCCTGCTGCCTGAGGAGGCTAGAAGAGGATATTGGATCCCATAAACCAGGAGTTATGGATGGTGGAGGCTACTATATGAATGCTGGGAACCAAAATTGTACTCTTCAGGAGTTCAGTATGTGCTCTGACCTGCTGAGCTGTCTTTTCAGGCCCCTCTTCTTTCTCTTGAATCCTATCAAAGGAAGTCTCAAATAGTAACTGGAGCCCTTGAGTAAGCTCATTCATTGGGCCTGCTGTTTTCCTTCTGATTGGTACTATCACTTGGCTTTTGAATAGTTTCCTTGCTTCTTTGTAGATCAGTATAACCCTTTATTTTAATTCCTCAAATAAGAGGAATTAAACACTAAGAGGAATTAAACAATAACCTGGAAACACCTAGACATTGGCAATCAGTTAACAATGCAACTGAGGAAATGAAATTTTACTTACTTTTAAAGCAAATTTATTATTCTATTTTGAGATGGAATCTCATGTATCCTAGGCTAGTCTTGACTATGTAGCTAAGGATGGCCTAGAACTTTTGCTCCTTCCAAGAGCAAGGATCACAGGCAAGTAAATGCTACTATATCCCCTTTATGCAGTGCTGGGGTCAAACCCTGGGCTTTGTACATTCTAGGCAAACCCTCTACCAAATGAGCTTTATCCCTGGCCCTCATTTCATTTAAATAACTACACATGACTGGTGATAAGTATATACATGCAGTTCTGAGACTCAGAACCTGAAATACCAAATAGTCTTTCTGGACTCATCTCTAGACATACTAGGTCTCCCTGAGCACAGTAGTGTTGTGGGGTTTTTGTTTGTTTGTTTGTTTTTTGAGATACAGTTTCCTGTAGCCAATCCTCCTGTCTCTACTAGCTGGAGTTACAGGTGTGCGCCATCATGCCCAGCTGTGTTTCTAACCCCGGGACTCTGCATCTTATCCAGCTTCCCATCTATCTCTTCTTTCTGTTGTTTAATCCCAATCTACCTTGAGTTACAGAACAGTTTACACATAAGACCAAAGTGTCTCACACATGAGCTGGCTACAAAATCAATTTGTTGGCTTTACCAGCACTTTAGAAGCCATCGTGTACCACATTTAAATCAGTATTTGTTGTAACTTGCTGTGATTTGTGTATGTGGGCCGGGGAGTGTATGTATGTAGATGCATACTATTCAATCCAGAGACTCTGTCACTCTGTGAATGGATAATCCTTGACAGTACAGTGCAAAGCTTGGATATCTCACTTAAACAGGAGAACAGGTGTGAGGCACATCTGGACTGGCAAATGGAGAGTTCAGCTGGGGTGCTTCAGATCCAGAGCTCAGAGTGGAGAACTTCAAAACGTTTCTTCTGTACACGTCTGGTACTGCTTGTCCTTCTGATCTATTGTCAAGGGTGGTACGCATTTCCCCATTCTATATAAGAATATAAAATAGTGAACTTTTGCTCTTTTTTTGTTGCTGTTGCTTTAGAAGTATTTCCTTTTATTTAAGTTCAAAACTCCTTTACTAAGTCTGTAGGAACTTCAAAGAGTCCAGGACAGGATAAAGCATGGTATGCATATCTGCTAAGGATTTATTAGCCCTGGTGTTTATTGTCTCAGAGCTAGTTAACAAAGATTTCTCCTTTCAGATCTTGGCACCCCCTATAAAGATGGAAGCTGAGGAAGGGCTGGGATGGGATACTTGAACTGCTGGTGATGTCGATAACAGTATGCATGCGTGTGTTTTCAAGCTTGAGGCCAGCCTGAGCTATGGAGTGAGTTCAAAGACAGCCAGGGCCAGAGTGTGAAAACTTGTCTTAAAAAAAAAAAAATGAAAATAAAGGGGAAAAGTTATCTAGAGACTCCCTAGGTCCAGGAAGCATTTCCAGGTGGCTTGGGCCTGTTTCCTGTCAAGCTACTGGAATCAACCCAAATCTGAGCAGATACAGGCATATGTTCCTTTAAGTTAGTGCTTCATCCAAATGCCTGGTTGGAAGGAGTGGGCACAGACCTGGCTGAAAGGTAATTCTCTTCTTAGTTCCTCTTTTGCTCACAGCAAACATTCCTGAGATAGTGGCATTAGATAGCCATGTAATACCATTATTATACATGTTGCCCTGGGGAATGAGCAAGGCAAACAGCCATGAACCATGAGGCTGAAGACCCATTGTTCTCCTAATTCCGCCCCATCCCTGGTGGTGCGGGTTAAACTCAGGGCCTTAAGCATGCCAGGCAAGCACTCTACCACTGAACTATAAACTCCATCCTTGGTTAAGATTTTACAAGTAGCCCAGGCTGGTCTCAAACTGGAGATGCTCTGGCTTCTGCCTCCTGAGTGTCCTAAACCTTCTCATTCCTAATCTTTGTCTCAGTTTCCTAGGTTGGAAGCAGGATTGTACCAACTGCCCTGCCTTTACCTATGAGCTGCAGATCAAGTGAAGCTAGTTGGGAGAAGCCTTAGAAAATACTACTACACCCTAGCAGGCCAGAGAGAGCACTTCCAAACAGATGTGACAGGAGTGTCCCTTGTCACTGAGAAGTTACACCTACATTGGCCCTTAGGCCATGACACTGGGTCACATTCACTTGGAAAGCAGGAGCTGAAGGGCTTGGGGCTAAGACCACAGCTGTAGAACAGTAGTACGTCCTTTCTCTGCATGATGACAACGAAGTGTATTTCACTCTGGAAGCCCCCAATTTCTGGTTAGTTCCTGTGAGTTACCAAGAGATGACCAGATGAACACCCTGGGCAACAGATCACTCCAAAAGAAGAATCTTGGAACTCCCTGAGGGAGCTGACCGGATATAACAAGCCAAAGGTGCTCTGCGCTTCAATAGGTCTCTTCCTCTAAACCCATCTACAGTTATTTCTCAAAACTTAAAACTCTTAGACTACCAAGCTGCCTGGCAGGAACCACAGCTACAATCCCATTGAAGCCCCTGTAGGCTTTCTCCACTTGCTCTGTTTACAAGAATTTTTTTTCGTCCTCATCAGATTTTTTTTTTTTCTAAAATCCATGTCACAGGTTTTTAAATTTGTTTTAGATGAACAATCTCTTTCTTAAGTGGCAGACAGTTGTCACATTTTCCAAATGAAGACATGGAAACAGGAGAAAGGCAAGTCACTGGCCCAGAGTTTTCTGGTTTTCACCACCTCAGCAATGAGGAGCTTTGCCCAGTGACTCAAGACAAAACATACCACTAAGACATAGAAAGCTGGAAGGGGAGCCAGCTGGACTCCTTACTCAAATGAACCCGGTTGGATTAGCAACGCCTGCCTGCTGCTGTTTCCCCGTGTGTGAACTTTGGAAACTTAGTGTAGAAACTGAGAGGAGAAGCTCTAGAAACTAACTGTATCATCTCAGAGGATGAAATACAACTTCCCAGTGAAAAAACAAGCAAACCCAAGTGAAGACTTGTCTCTCAACACCGCAGAACTCACACTTCCTACAAAGAAACAGTGCTAGGCAGTGGTCCTGACCGAGTCAGAACCTGTCCCAAGTGACTGCCCAAGAACAGTCATGCATCAGGGCGACGTGCCCCATATAACTAACTCCAGGCTTATTATTATTGGACATATCCACAATTCTGCAGAAGACTGCCAACTTTCTTCACAGCCCAAATGAAGCCCCAGACTGAAAGCTGGATGGTTCTACAGGCAAAAGTCATTCATTGTGCTAGATAGACGCTTTGGGATACAGTAGGGGAGAAAAATGAAGATTTTCGAGTCATGATGGGAATAATTAAATAAAAATAGTGAGAGCAGCCCACGTCTAAGTAGAGCACAGTGGGGAGGCAGACTAACACCCCCACCTAACGGAAAACTGGTTCCAGCAGAAAGCTGTGGCTCCAGTCTTTAAAGGTGTGGCCAGCATGCAGCCCGGACTTAATTTTTATATTTTAACGTTAAAGGCCAACAGTAGCTGAATTAACTCTAGGTGAGATGAGTGCACGAGGCGTCTCCCTCCGAGCCTTTGGCTGGGTGGAGAGCATTACCTTAGTAAGTCGAGGAAAGAGTCCACCGTCTCTTTGGAGACCGGAGGAGACCCCGAGTCCTCCAACCCCAGGCTGCCGGACTGGAGGGTCTGCGCGCCCGCCCCTGGCTTGATGATGAACGCCAAAGCGACCGCGAGCGCAGAGGCGCTCAGCGTGGTGAGGCCGAAGTAGGCGACCGCTATGCCGCCCAGACGCCCGAGGGAGCTGGCGTCCAGGGAGGCGGCGCCCGACACCAGGCTGCAAACCACCAGCGGCAGGATGATCATGCGCAGCATGCGGAGTAGCATCTCGCCGGGGAAGGCCAGGTAGAAGACCTGAGTGCGGGTGAGCTGCAGCCCGCGCAGCGCCGCGCCCATACCAGCGCCCACTATCACCCCCGACACAGTGAGCAGTACCAGCGCCTGGCGCCGAAAAAAGTCAACGCAGCGCCGCGATTTCCTAGCCGCCGTCTCGGGCGTGCGGGGCCCGGCCTCAGGCTCTGCCTGGGTGCCGTCGAGGTAGCCGTTGGTCTCGCTGCTCTTCTCCATGTCGCTGCCCGCCGCTCTAAGGGGCAGCACGCAAGGAACTTGGATTCGGAGAAAAGACCGGCTTCCAATGAATGGATCAGGCGGAGACAGTGGCCTGCGCCAGCTGCGGCTCAGGAGCTCTACGGATCCCTATGGGAACAATTTCCAGAAAGGTGAGGAGAGACGTGGGTTGTCGGTTGGAGTGGAGGCAGAGCAGACCTCGCCGCGCCCAGCCTTCTTTCAGAGACACTGCTGGCTGGAGATGATGCAACGCAGGAGGCGCGCGGGAGGCTGCAGCCTAGTAAGGAGGGAGGGGCCGGAGCCCGCTCCGCCCAAGTCGCCCCGCCTCCAAGATTAAAACCAATCAGAGCTCTGAAACGCGTTGTCCCCGACTTTCCCAGGCCCCGCCCTCCTCCCGCCTTCCCTGAGGCACAGTAAAGGGAGCGAGACTGGCAGGCGGGGCTCTCCCGAGACCGCGGGGCGTGCGGCTGTTGGCCAATCGTGTCGCCGGGTCGCTTCCTGTCCTGGCTAATGGAAGCGGCTCCTAGGGGTGCAGGCGGAGGTGCGGCTGGAAAGACAACCTCCCGGGCTTCTCCGTGCTGCGCACTGTCCAGGTCTCGGGGTGTGCGTGGAATGCCGCGGTGTTCTTCACCCCGGTCGGTGGACAAAAGGGGTCCTCGAAAGTTGCTGCCTGCCCTCCGCTTTGTGCCAGGGACGGTCCACCCTCCCTTCTGCGGATAATCCTTTCTTCCAAACGTCCTGAGGGGTTCCGTGAGGTGAAACTTGCTTCGATGCAGAGACAAAGGAGTGGGTAGATGAGAAAAGTCTCGCCGCGTGCACACACAGGACTCTAGCAGAGCTTTACTCTCTTACATGACCAGGGACTCCCGGTGGGCTCCAGAGTCAAGGCTGCGCCCCTGCACACACCAGCGCACTCCCGGCGGTTGTCCCGTAATGTGTCCCGTGTCACACCAGCGCACTCCCGGCGGTTGTCCCGTACTGTGTCCCGTGTCCCCCACCCCCACCCCTACCCCACCCCCACCCCACCCCTGACTCTCGGCAACAGCCTGGTGTGTGCTGAAGACGCAAAACTCTCCCAGAGAAGCAGAGCTCTGACGCCATCACTTTCGGTGGCGTGTCTGCCACAAAACCTCAACAGAAGCACAAGTCACAGGATTTTAACTACATCCTCCCAGGGCTCCAGCCTTGGCACGACAATAGCACAGCCAGGTGTTTGGCTAATCTGAAAGATTGTTCCATGTGATTACATTCAATGGATTTTTTTTAAAAAATTAAATTTATTTACTGTCACTTATTTAGTATCTTCTTTGGCCACAGAAGACAGAAGGGAAAACCTTTGCAGTCATTTAATGTGCATCTTACTTATTCTTACATTTTTCTCATTCTGCTTTTGAAAGGAGCTACCCACCCCCACCCAGATGCCTGAGAAAGTCTTAGGTGTAGCTAAATTAAATTAAAGATGAAAACAATGTGCAGAGAAGTAATCTTAAAGCATGCCATCACATATACCTGGGTGCAAATCAAGATGCCCTCATGAGGAACTTTAAGACGTACAATTTTTGAGAAAGTGAAAAGTTCCTTACTTGAAGCCTTTTAGTGGTAGTGTAGAGCTTGTTGAAGTAGGGGCTTATTGGTGGTGAGTAAGTACATTAGATGAGGACCAGTACATATCTTTATCTTTCTTCCCAGAACATGGTTACCTCTCAGTGTGCAAGGATGAGTGATTTTACAAACCCGTGCTCTTTAGTTCCAAGTATCTCTTCCTCCCTTTGCTTAGACTGTAACTTCTATGCAAAAGACTGAAGTCATGCTCCATAACTGGGTTCCCAACTGTCCGATTTACACCTGCACCCAGACACCCTGCAGCATCTCAGCTTGGCATATTCAGAACCAAATGTATGGTTGCCTCCCTCAATCCTGTTACCACCAACACTGTGATCTGCCTCTGTGAGGCTTCAGGTTTGAGTCTTCTCTCATTTGATCAGTTGTAATGTTTATTTGTTCTGACCACTACCAACAACTGTGTTCTTGATTCCTTATTACTATGTAGCACAAGCAGGCCTTAACTCACTGTCTCCCTGCCTCTACTTTCTGATTACAGGTATGTGTCACTGCACCTTGTTTATTTCCATTCTTCTAAATCTAGGCATTAAACAGCTACTATTTTTTTGTATTTGTTTTCTGATGTGTATATGTGCACCTTTGTGGAGGCCAGAGGAAGGTTCCAGCTTTCCTGTTCTATTATTCCCTGCCTTATTCCTTTAAAACAGGGCCTCTCACTGAACCTAGAGCTAGGCTGGTGACCAACAAGTCACAGCCATCCTCTTGTCTCTGCACCACAGACCTGAGGGTATAGGAGTGCATGGCCACACCCAACTCTTTGAGCAGGTGCTGGGGTCTGAACTCCAACCCACCGAGCATCTCTCCAATCCCCTTATCGAGGTTTGTGAAATTATTTTTTTGTTTTGTTTTAGGTTGGTCTTGAACTCTCTATGTAGCTAAAGATGAGCTTGAATTCCTAATTCTCCTGACTCCACCACACAAATGCTTAGAATTATAGGTGTGTGCCTGACTTGGCTGAACCCAGGACTTTGTATATGCTTCTTCTGTTCCTCTGAGGCAGGGTCTCTTCCTGAATCCAGGACCAGCAATTGCTGGACTAGGCTAGAAGTCAGCAAGCTCCCAGTTACCCTCCTGCCTCTGTCACCCTTAGAGCTGAAGGTCTAGGAAAACACAGGACTCTGATTTGTTGGACCTGGGCTAGGATGTGAACTCTATTCCTCCTGGTTGTACAGTGAGCACTTTTAACTGCTGAACCATCTCTCCAGCCCCCTCATCCCTTTTTAAAGAGAGTCATGCTATGTAGCCTAGACTAACCTTGAAGCTCAGACTAGAGTTTTTGAACCTGCAGAGTCCTGCATGCTGGAGTTATAGGCGTGAGCAGCCAGACTCAGATATTTCCCCACTTGTCTACTCACCTGAACTCTTCTAAGCTGGCTGCACCTTCAGAGATTCCTTTTTCCACAGCTCACCCATGTTTCACCTTTGCTCCAGGATAGTGTTCCTGGAGACACAGTAGCACTGAAGACATGAATTCTTACTTTATCTTAAAAGAAAGAAAAAAAAAAAAGCCATGCATGGTGGCACATTCTTGTAATCCCAGTCTTTAGGAGTCAGAGATGGGATGAATGCTATAAACTGGCCAACCGGGTCTATTTAGGACATTATAGGCCAGCCAGGGCTACATAGTGAGGATTTGTTTAAAAAAACAACAAAACCCACATTGTTTCATTTATATTTATTAGTGAGAACTTGGCCAAATGACTGCACCCAACTGCAAGAGATAGAATCTTAATTTTGCACCATGAAAAATTGGTGCTGATGTTACCGAAGAAGCATGGGAAAGGCACTGGGACTGTAGCTCACTTGGTAGAGTGCTAGCTTAGCATGCACAAGGTCCGGGGTTCAGCCTGAAGACATGGCAGTGATTGACTGTAATCCCAGAAGTTGAGAGATGGGGGAATGGGAGTGTGGAGGCAGGATATTAAGGTCATCTGCAGCTACACAGGCAGTTTGAGGCCAGCCATGTGTATGGGAGACCCTGTCAATCAATCAATCAATCAATCAATCAATCAATCAAACAAACAAACAAACAAAAAGCACCCAAGAATTATGTAAGCTAGATCCTCCTTTTGAAAAGCTTTCACTGATTCCCACAGAATTAATGTATTTCTCATCCTGGCATCCCTCGTCTGTCAACATCAGGCTTCATCTTACTCTCTTGCCTTGTGTCCTCTGTACATGTGTTGTGGGCCCCACTTTCAGAAGTTTGGCAGCTTTTGTATCTCTGAACAACTCTATTGGAAAGTTTCTTTGGACAGTCTTCAATGGCAGTGCTCAGAAAACTGGATATTCATATGAAGAGAATAAAGTTAGACCCCACACACTACAGAAATCTATCAAAATGGACTAAGGTTTTAAATGTAAGATCTGAAATTGTAAAACTGCCAGAAGAGAGTTGGAAAGATCATTGATATATTTCTGGGAATTTTTAAAAAATTATGACCGCCAAATAGCAGGCAACAACAGCAAAACTTGACCACTGAAATGCCTTCAAACTAGAAAACTACACTGCAAAGGAGACTACCAAGAAAGCAAAAGAAACAACCTATAAAATGGGAGGATGTGTTCTGCCTAGCTTTTTGTCAACTTGGCACGGAGGCCCTTTGAAAAGAAGGAGGAACCTCAACTGAGTAAATGCTCCACCTTACTGACCTGTGGGCAAGCTTGGGGTTCATTTCCTTGATTAAGGGTTGATGTGAGATGGCCCAGGCCATGCCATTCTGGGCAGGTGGTCCTGGAGTCTATAAGAAAGCAGGCTGAGCAAGCAATGAGGAGCAAGCCCTTAAGCAGTATTCCTTCATGGCTTCTGTTTCACCTCCTGCCTTGTTGTTCCTGCCTTGATTTCACTCGATGGAGCGTAACCTGAGAGTTCTAACCTGAAGTAAGCCCTCACCTCCCCATGTTACCTTTGGTCAAGGTGTTTTATCACAGCTATAGAAAGCAAATTAAGACAGATATATTTCAAAAATACATGGTGAGGTGTTAATTCCCCAAGATGTAAGAAATGCAAAGAACTTAATAATAAGAAAACCAAATAACCTGACTAGAAAATGGAGGAGTTAAAGAGATGTTTCTCAAAGACACAAACAGCCATCACTAGTCACCAGGGAAAAGGAGTTATAATCATGGTAAGATATGTCACATCTGTAAGAAGAGCTGTTGTTGAACCAGGTGTGGCAGGTCCATGCCTGGAATCCCAGGCCCAGTACTTGGGAGGCTGAGGCTGGAAGCTGCAGAGTTGGAGGCAAGCCTGGGCTACCTAGAGAGACCTTGAATAAGAGAGAAGGAGAGAGAGAAAGAATAAAGAGAAAGATTAAATGGCTATTACAAAAAAGGCTGAAAAGCCAGTGCTGATAAGGATGAGTGGGAAAGGGAAC